ATTGATTTCTGTTAATTTTTTTACCGATACATACAGAACCGGCGGAAGAGCGAGTAATGTTTTGGTTCTAACTACCCACGCGAAATATATTCCAGGAGGCGTAATTACCCACTGAAATTTTTCGCAAACAATTTAACACATTTATCTAAATCAAGGCAGGTGGAAAAAAATAGTTTCGAAACCCGAACCGAAATCATTATTTAATATTCAAACTTCGCGCGCGATGCGGCAGTCCCGTTGTGAAGTATATTTACGGCGAGCTGTTGTGATCCCATTGTATCCAAAAGAGCCCATAATGGACGATGTATTGACTGAGAGTTCGAGGTAAACAAGGAATGATAAAACTGATTGGTATATCTTCCAGTCAGGCGTGAAAGAGGAGGCACGCGAGTACATCGGACTTATCTAAAAAAATGCTAATGAAAATACCCGAAACGTCTTATAACATGTAAAATGAGCCCTTTCTGTGCGTGGTCAAGTTAAAAAATATAGTAGAAATTAATTATCAATGGTGTATAGTAAAATTATTAACAAAATTACTGAATTGAACTACCCTTTCCCACAGTTATCGAGCGTGGAAAGAAATTCAAAGTCTATTAGGGAAACCTACATATTTCGGCAGAGCGGATCACATGCACGTTGGGAAATATTCATTCGCGAATCGCACTTTTAGGGACTGAAACAGTTTGCCTTGACAATCTTCGATCCCTTTCCTCAATTTTGAATGTGAATTAAAAAACTTGTTTTCGAATGTGTAATAAATAATATACTCTAAATATTAACGTTTATTTTAAAAATATTAAGATAGGTATAATACTTTTTTGGATATTTCACATACTTCAGTGCTACGAAAGGTTAATATATTATAGATGATTTTCAATTAAATGTAGCCAAATTTGAATTGGTAAATGAAACATCTGAATAATAAATCCTGTAATAATATTATTGATAATTATAGTAAAAAGCTAATCCAAATTTTCTACATATACCGTCAAAATTCCGTCATCCGTAACAATTGAGTATTGTTCTGTCCATGTGTAGGTTTCAATGAGGATAGTTTGTGTGTGGACTTTGTGGAAATATTGTCATGGTGTACAGTAACCAATCAGACAGCTATAGAAAATGAAAAATCTTGTATTGCAGCCTAAACGGAAGAAATCTGTGCCAAGTGTTTATTATAAAGTTAAGATTGCCTAAAACTTGGGAGAAACAGGCCAAATTAAAATTGTTATATCTTTCACAAATTTTCATTTCATAAAAGATTTTTTTTTTAAACAATGCAAAATCCCTCTTCAATTCCAGAACACTAAGCATATTTACTGGTATGTTATTACTAACTACAAGACGAATCAACTTGCCAAACATAAAACTAGTATAATTTATAAATTTGTTTCATTTTCCTTGGTTTTCAAAGACTTACACAAAATAGTCACAGTACCAATGATTGATATTGTATCAAAATTACAATTCAATTTTTGGCTAAAAAATGTCACCAAAAATTAAGGCTGGTATGATTTCAATCATGATTTATATCATATGATAATTTTTTTAAAAATCAATGATTTAAGTTATTTTTTCAAATATTACAAATAATAAATAGTAAGTTATAGAGATGAAGACTTACATCAATTACACAGTTTATACAAAGAATATCATATTTCTTCTAACCTTTTTCACATAATTGAACAATTTTGAGAAAAAAAATACAATGTAATATACATTAAAATGAGCTTGCTTACGAAATGAACAATAAACAATTTGTAGTAGATTTTTACTAATGGACTTGGATGATGTAATAGTTTTTATCCAGCATTTCATTGTCTGTAGATAATAGCAAATTTAGAAACAACATACACACCGAGCTATTTTCAAGAAAAATGAGTTAAATCTTCAAGCATATTTGTAATTCTAGATTTGGAGTAAAATGTTTGCTAATGCCACATAAAGTATAACATCTTAGAGAAGACGAGCATTAATAAAAATGGAATTTTATTGATACTTAAGAATAAAATTAATATTGTTAAAACTAATAAAACCGGTATTTAATGTTACTAATTTTAATAATATTAACCTTCTTCCTTGTGTATATTGATAAAATACCATTTAAGTGGGAACGAACAGGACAACTATTAAATAGAATTTAATATTTCAAAAACTGTCTAATATTGTTGTAAGTTTTTTTATGAAATCAGTTGTTTTCAACAGTAAGAGGTTTTTTGATTCAGGTAATATTACAGAAAAAATGGTAAAATTTTTTGGACGAAGAATGCCTTTTTTCTGAACCATGCTAACAGGTGTTGCCACAAGCTTATTCGATAATGTGAACACATGAGAAGTAATGAAACTATAAGTATTCAAATTTAAAGATTTTGTGGGTTAGGGCAGTATTGCACCAGACCACTCAAATGTATAGTATTTATGTGAAGAAAGAAACAACTAAAACAAACAATAAGGAAATGATCAATGTAAGACTTCATGTTTTCACTTTTTTCTGCTTTTAAAGTAATTAAGGATAAATAAATCACTTTACAATTTTGGTTTTAAGTAAAAACATTTAATACAATATTTAAAAATATTATTTAAATCAAGTTAATCTGAATTAAGAAAAGCAGATAATACTCTTGGATATTCCCTACACCTCCCACAATTAATTCACACTAAAACAGAATAGCTGCGCTATTTGCACCAGGCCCGTGACTGAAGAAACAAACTTAGTCCCCCACCTTTTAACATTGAGTGAACCGGCCCTGGTGCGCCATCAGTCACGGTGCGCTGCTGACGCGGCCCTATCTGCTTATACCATAACACTAACTGTTATTGAACTTCAGGAGGCTCTCGAAGTAAGGGAGGATGAGATAAGAGAAGCTGTGATACAGATCAGGGATAGAAATATAGAAATCCAGAGACTGAAACAATCTAGTGGCATTGCAGTTGATGGTTCTTCAGCTGTGCAGGTTGTAAAAGATTCACAAACAGCCACCGATAATCAGTTGGAATCTAGTCAGGAAAATGAACGGGACCTTGCTTTGTACATATTGCATCAAAGGGAAGTAAGGGGTGAAGAACTCACACAGGTGAGAAATTTCTTTCGTTCTTTATTTATTTAATTATTTATAAAAACAGCAATAGAAAACTGATATAATCACAATTAAAATATTCAACAAGTTTGGATTAATTAACTGTGAAGTAAATGTTAACGATTTATAATCTCATCAAGGTAAGCAGTGTTATCAAGGTAAGCAACATTATAAAACTAACACTAATAACTCAAATTAAAGCACTTTTCTTCACAACCATAAAACGATTACTTAATTCACCTATGAATTCGTTCATACACTACTAAACTCACAATTCCTATTTCAATTTAAAATTCTTAGTGAATTAATAAGTGAAAATATCTGATCATGAATAATTAATAAAAAAGGAGAAAAAACACAGACGCTCACACAACAGACCCCTCCAGCTTTACTTTGAAAACCATTTTTTAATTGGGTCTATTCGCAGAGGGGAATCACAATTTTCAATGATTATAAATTTACAATTTCAAAATAGCAATCTTTCAAATTTCTGTACTTTATTTTCTCAATTAGGACTGCCCTTTAACCCTTAGACTCTGTTTGAGGTCTTTTTTTTTGACCATAGAGACAAATAATGTTTTCTAACATTCTGAAAATTATTCACATGAACCTTTTAGATATGGTTTTTGTGTCCAGTTTTACATATGTTGTAATTTTTTCGGTCTTCTTAGTTTGTTTCTTTGTCGGAATTAATTTGATTTTTATTTGGTTGAAGTAAAAAACGCCACACTTGAGATCTAAATTACAAGAAAAATTCTAAAAATTGTCGATTTCCGTTTTATATTATTATGTTGTGGTTTCTGAGTGATAATTTGGTGTATTTCTCTACTTCGATTTGGTAGTCCTGATTTAAACATTCTCATGTTGGTAAGATCGATCACCTCAAGGATAGGTTAGAATTTTTTTCTGAACATAAATTTTTTTTATTCAGTACAATATAGTAAATAAAGCAAATAAATAGCATAGTTTTTACAATTAATAATTCCAAAAAACATTTCTGCATCAAATACTTGTAAATTATTGTGTAAATCATTTGGGATCAAAAAAGACCTCAAACAGAGTCAACATAAGGATTTCAGAAACAGAGTCAAAGGGTTAATGCGGATCTTAGGAATAAGGACTAATTTAGTGATTGATAAAATCTAACTTCTCTTATAGTTGATATACAACAAATAGAAGAAAAATACTCAAAGCTGTCTTCAACTCATTGTCTGAGTTTTAAACAAACATATTCAAAGTACTATTTACCCTTCTGATGTTCCAAAATCATTAAATAACTCCAAGACGCTGCATAAAAACAAACATATAATTTACAAATTACTTCGGTAAATAAAAAAAATCAAAACTCAATATTGAGTGTATTCCTTCTTTTACAACAATTAATTTTTATTTTTAAAAGAAAATTAAAAGTATGTAAAAAATTACAAAACCTTCATTTTTATTTTTTCAAAAAATAATTATTGTTTTAAAAATACTCTTAAATTTTGTTAGATGGCTGGAGGCACAAGTTACATCATCAACTGAACATCAATAATTAATTTACAATTCCCTGGGTATACTCATTTTTACAATTCCTGAGGTACACCATTCTAAGAAACTTCTGCTACTGTCCATCATGATCAAAAAACAATTACACATGAAAATACTGTTTCTCAAAATACATTTAACTTCATATCAAAGTTAGTAAAAGAAATGCACAGAATTGAGCATTACATTTAAATAGAATATATTATTTTTAAGAATTCACCATCAGCAAATTACTTTTCAATGGAAAAGATTCTTTTATGTTGCCCTTATCCCATTCAATTTCACAGAGCTAAAATATTTAGCGAGAGACATTCATTTTCAAACACTTCCAATCTGTGCAAATTCTATTCAATGAAACACGCAAGGCATGTTATATCACCTCGTAATGTCTAGTTGACAAAATATTAGCTTTCATCACTGCAACATTTAATTTGCTTTGACATGATACACCTGAATGATGACTAACGGGTTTTGCAGACTGGTTTTCTTTATTGCTGCAAAAGAATTGAACTCTCTTTTGCTCTATCCATCGTTTTCTTTCTTCATCCCAATGAAGTTGGCCACTTTGACAGCTTGAAGCACTAGCTCCACTTCGACTGCTTTCATCTGTCACCACTGTAGATTTTCTGGATTTATTACTTTTGATTTTTAGGTATTTTTCACTTTTAATTTGAGAACTCAATCGATTTAGATCTCCCCTAGTGTCCATGCCATAACCATCAATCAATAAATGACTTATTGATTTGAAACTACTTTTATCTATATTGTTCCCGTTAGAAGTAAGGCATTTAATTTTGGTACTGGGTAAAGTACCAAAATGAACATGTTTTCCTGAATGTGTTCTTGAAAAGCGGGCAGGTCTTTCAACAACATGAGGATTTAATTTGGTAGACGTGGACGGTGTAAAGCTGGTGTCACCTTCATCAGTGTATACTGAGAAGTCAGATGTTGGATTATACAAAACATCTGTTTTATGATACTTACTGCTTCCACCAAAATTGCTTTGACAATATCGTAAATAATGTTCAGCTTGACTAACTTTCTCTTTCACAAGACATTCTGATGCTGCTATTTGTTTTTCTTTTTTCATAATATATTTGTCCTTCTCCTTCAGTTCAACCTCTCGCATTGTTAACATGGCTTCCCATTCTTTTAGATGTTCAATTTTTAAGAGCAAAGTGTCCTTCAGCTTGGCAACTTCTTCGAGACATTTATAAGGAGAAAAAGACAAGGAGGAAGAGCTTCCTTCGCGGGCCATAGTTCCTAATTCATTTTCAACATCTTCACTGCAGCTCGATTTAATCTCAATTGCTGCAAGAGATTCTTGAACCATGTGCATTATAACTTGTGGATGATGAAGGATTGTTTCCACATTTGGACGAGAACGATGCTCAACCGTCAACATATAACTTATCATTTTATGTAAATCATCGGAATAATCAGAAGGAATCCTGTTAAACCTGAAACAATATACTATAATAAGAAAATTAAAAATTTGAGAATACACGCACACTTATAATGAAAAGTTAACTAACCTGCCATTCTGGACAGAACGAATAAGCTGTTGTAAATTTGAACTGTTAAAAGGAGGTTGCAGAGCACATAGTTCGTAGATAAGGCAGCCCAGGGACCATATATCAGATTTCTCACTATAAAGACTATCTTGAATAACTTCCTAAAATGGAAAGCACACAAATTCTGAGGTTGAAGCTCTTATAAACTTGACAATAAAAATATTGCAGCGCAAATGTATTATTGTTGAAACAACACTGCACAACTGACTTGTTGAAAGGTTTTTTTGTTTTTCGTTGCACATAAGTCTCTGATCCAGCTGGTACCATCTAATAGCAGAGGAAACGTAATTTTAGTCATGAAAATTGTTAAATTGCATTTCCCATCCTAATCAATGGTCAGCGATGCCAGAGATGTAAGTTACTCAGTATTGTTTTTTCACTGATATGTAATGAGGTTATATTTCGAAACATTATCTCACTACATACTTTCTTAATAAAAAGGATATCAGCTTTCAAATAGTGATCTTGTATTATCAATCTAAAATATTTCATCTTATAATTTTATGACCTGGCAAAAAGCCTTATTCCTTTGTGTATCATCTTTAAATGAGTTCTGATCATTTTCAGGACCCATTACACTTTATCAAATGCAACAGTCTTTGTTATAAGATTTTAGGATATTGTACCAACTTTTTTTGCGCAATTCTTGCTTGTTAAAACAACTCAATGTAAGTTAAATACATTAAAACAGAATGTTTTCCACTACTCACATGACAACTGGTGGATATGCAATTCAGAAGATAAAATCAACAACAAAATGTTTAGACATTTGCACTAACTCATATATACATCACATATCAGTCATTCTACATAAATTATTAAAATAGGTTAAAAAAAAGTATATAAGCATAATTTTAAAAGGTATACATCCTCACTAACGTTCAATTTTTATGATTTCTAAAAGAAAATGTGACAAAATACAGTTCCAAGTACTTTTTCAATGATTGAAATAGAGTATTTTGGCAATAAATATTTCGTCTAAAATTGATTTAATGTTTGTACAGCTTTATTGTGGCCATTCAAATGTTTCCTGCTCCAAAACAGTATTGGGGTTGTAGATCAATACATTGGCTTTGGTTGTCTTTAATTTCAAGAAATTTGGTAAGTAACTACTATTTACGGAATTTTATTTTTAAAGTTATGACGTTTACTGTAACGCCCGTAACAAAAATTGTTGAAAAGTTTTTTCTTGCATAGTGTAAAAGTGTGATTGTTTTATAATATTCTTTAAGTTGACATTCTGGTGAATTACATAAATGTGATTTAATATTTATTTTGATTAAGAGTTTTCAATTTTACACATATTTTAATCAATTTTTTGAAACTATACAAATAAGAGTTATTTTGATAAGATTTGTATGATTTTGGATTATATTGTATAATCTAAGTAAAAGTCGGGTTTTGAGGCCTCAAAGTAAGGGTTTTCACACAGGATGAGATCTTGAACATTCTATTACATTTTTGTTTGTCCAGCGCTTCTCTATGGTACCCCACCAGCTCACAGACGAGCAAAATCTGCATGTAAATGTATATGAGAGAGAGAGAGAGACAGAGAGAAAGGAAGACAGTGAGAGAGACCGGGAGAGGGAAGGAGAAAAGGGAGATGAAGGGCAGAACATCTGCTGGGGATTCCTCTAGTTATTTCATAGTCTCTTGTCTTTAGTCTTTCATAGTCAATTATATTTAATTATTAGTAATTTTAATTATCCACATTATACTATTAATTACTCATTTTTTCTAAAAGAATACATCATTTTTAGTGAATTCCCAGGTCTTCTAGTATACACCCAGCTACTCTATAACCACTAAGCTACCAAGACAACCAAGCCTTTGAACAGTTTTCATGAGCGCAATTATCGCTCCTAGTAATTGCGTCCAAGGTGACTATGAAATCATATAATTTTATTCAGTCATGCTTTTATAATTCATTTTATTTACCATTTAGAAAAGAAATGAAAACTATACCATTCATTTCACTTATAGGGAAATAACACCTACATTTTCAGTTGCAAGAGTTGCTAAATGCAGGAAAAAGTTGAAGAACAAAAATCTAGAAAAATTGAAAGAATTTCTTGAGAAAAATAAAAATAGTTTATTGAAAAGGTAAGAGAGCCAAAAATGTATAAAAGTTGAAAAGATGTTAAAACAGAAAAGAGAAATAACAAGAATAAGAATTCAGAATTGACTTTAAAAGAAATCTCTGGAAAAGAATTAACAAAAGAAAAGATTTATATGCATCAACAAGCACTCTTAGAAAAGCAGTATGTAAACCAAAAAAGAACCTTCCAACAGCCCATGAAAGAAAAAGGAGTTCATGAGCTTGTGAAAGAGTCATTCGGTGGTACTTTTGACTTTCATAATGTTACACAATTGTCAAGATGCTGCATGATTCCAGAAAATGTTGAAGAGAATGTCAAAGAGTTTTTTGAATCAGATGAATTTAGCTGGCAAGCACTGGGAAAAAGGGATTATGTGTTGAAAACAAACAAACCAGGGCAGAGTGTTCTAATGCAAAACCACTATCCAAGTTGACTATTTCAGGTCCACGCACTTTACGTGAAAAACAATAAAATTTCTCGTTAAAAGTTTCACCAGTTGCACCCTGACCATGTAAAGACTTGCTGATGCGTCAAATGAAGATTTTTCCCCACATGTGCATTTCCTTTAACCCAACAATCAATTTTCAAGATGAGTTATAGTAATGAAATTGAGAATTGCATGATAAATTAATGCAAAATGTGTTATTACAACATTAAATTGCCAAAATGTGATGTTGAAGGTAAAAGTTCTTTCCTAACAAGCGATGGGAATCAGTGAATGAAATACCTTTGTGTAGGAACTTCCATAATTTTGAGTGTTTTGATGAGAAATATTTTTTGGTAAGCTTTCCTAATAACTCAGAACAATAGAAAATATGCTGAAATTATCATTTCTTTTTATTCCAATACATTTTGTTAAAAAATACACTAAATTCTCCTTGAAAGATATAAGAACAAAAAATGTCAATGTGTAACATCCCTAACCAATGGAATGGCTGACATACTAATTTGAATATAGTAGAACGATAAGTGGTGAACAAGCATTGCTTGCTACAGTTAACGAGTAGAAAGGATAAATTTGGTTGATTGAAATTTATGAAGTTATGTACAATAATTTACATCAGTGTAAGGAGGTAGTGGGATAAGATAGTCAAAATGGTTCTGGGGAACAAATACTTCTCTACCTAACCTTCTAAACCTGTTCAAAGTACCAAAAACATGACATTTATGTATGGCCTTCACCTTTACTTTATCACAACCTACAGAATGAAAACACTCTTTTTTGTTTATAATAGTAACAACTACAACAATAATAATAATTATTATTATTATTACTATTATTGATATGAGTATTACAGTAAAACATGCCCAAGACAGAAGCCTGCCTTCGCAAAAAAAAAGTCTCAGAACAAACTATTTTCTGATGCAAAGTTAACTGGATAAGCTAGAAATCTGCTGATCACGGAAACAGAGAATATTTAGTAGGACGGTATCAAAAATTCTGGATAAGACTGAAAACAAATAAATTTAAAATTAAACATCCAACTTTGTGAGGTGACTTCATACAACGAGACACTCAGAGCAATGCTCGTCCATTACCCATGCTGCCCTGGCCCGAAAATTGTTTTCCCCACGCTAGTCCCGCAAAAGCCACTCTTTATTTGTAATAGGACCTTCCCAAGCCCACATGACGGAAGAGGAGATGCAAAGAGTCATCCTACCACATTTCTTGCAAAGTGTACTTTAGGTTCAGTGGATCTAAACGTTTACTGTTGTTCAGTTTGAGAAATTGCAGGTATTGTGTTAATCAAGTATTTACGATGTCAGGCGGCACATTGACAATGTTAACTCTTCGTGAGTAAATTCGATTAATTGAATAACATGAACAAAACACTTCTGTCAAGGTTTTAATGAAAAAATTTAAAGTTGGGAAATCTCAAGTGTAAACAAAGACAAAATCAAGAATGAGTGGTAAAAAGAAAAATGTTTATAAGTGGTTGCCACAATATTCATGAGTATCTAGGCAAATAATAAAAATATGTAGAATGCAATAATTGATTTTAAATAGACAGGGGTTTGAATTTTCAGAGTCATTTTCAATTTTGCCAAACTTTATAGCTTTCTAATTGTTCTCAAGGCTAAAGAAGCTTGGAAAACTTCCGAAAATCAGACTCTTTGGGGAGTAAAGAAGAATGAAGTTCACCTGATCCATTAATACCTAATATTATTTTTCTGAGGAAAAAACTTAAATATTGATAAAGAGGGAAATATGTGGTTTTTGTTCTATAGGTCAAAGACAGCTGGAAAGTGAAAGAGAAAAATGTATAAACATAATTATTTTTAGTTTTGAACAGTTAATCAGCCCAAAAAAGAAAGTAGCCTCCAGGGCAATTTTCATTATCTTGCTCTGCTACCAATAATCAGCTAAATTTGACTTAAGCTTGGCAGGTGCTGTAGGAAGCAGTGAGATCAAGGAAGATCAGGGGGGGGGGGCATGGTGACCATGCTCCCCCCCGCCAAAACCCTAGAGTTTGTTTACCTTCTTTTATTTGGCAAAATTGATTTACGTATTTATGTTAGAGTTATGTAATTATTTATTTACATACTAATATTGAGTATCATATATTCACTACAAAAATAATATACTAATAAATAATAAACCGAAATTTTGGAACAAAATTTGAGATCGACAAAAAAATAAACAAAGTGCTTATTTGTTGTTTAAAGAAAGGTTATTTATAATTACTGTAGAACTAATAATTAAAACAAGTTGTCAAAATGAAATGTTTATTGCACAGGTAACTAAGGTAACTATGGTGTATATTACATGTTAATGAAGCAATAATTTTTACTTAGAGAAACTTGCAAATTCGGTTCTTCTACTTTTGCTGTAAGGAACTGAACCTTCTTGACGATGAGATGTGACGATGCGATCCCTAGACTGATATTTTCTCACATCACATGCTATGTTGCATTGTGTCCAATAATCCTACAGATGTATTGGTATATGTATGGTACGTTTTTCCGGGTATTCCGAACATTTCTGAATCCGAATAGACCACACCTCCAAATTACTTTGGAATACTGGGGTTCTACTGCAGTAACAAATGTTTATTATTTAACAAAAATTTATGATGGCCCCCTCCAAAGCGATCAGCTGGATTTGCCCCTAGGAGGAAGGTTGGAGAAAATGGTAGGATCATATATGTTTTTTGGCATAACAAAAATGAATTGCCTTCACTCAATTTATGACTTGCGACTGTTGTCTGGGAAAATTGCATGAATGAAGCAAGTCAAATTGGCTTTCCAATCGTGCATCAACACGAGTGGGAATTTTGTAATTTTCAGAATCATACTTGCTTTGGGTTACCTTTATTTTTATCAAAAAAACATCAGTTTTCTCAAGCAAAAAGGTCAAGTCAAAGTTATGTGTAACTGAAAGTTTCTTCGAATCTCACAATTGCTTGGAATATTTTCTCCAGAGGATTGTTTGAAAAATCCTGATCTCAAACACTCTTACTTATATTTTCAACATAAGGGTGATATCAGGCAAGTTCATCTGAAAACTATTTCAATATTTTATACATGCATACTGATTTCCAATTTCACCCGAAGAAAATCTTCTTAACCCTTGGACTCTGGGGTCATTTCTGACCCAAGGTACAAATAATCAAAACATGAAAATTATTCACATGAACTTCTTCTTTTAAATATGCTATTTATGCCCAATTTTACATGTGTTGTAAAATTTCAGTTTTTAAAGTTTTCTTGATTTGAAGAAATTTGATTTTTATGTGGTTGGAACCAGAAATACTCCCAAATAATTTTTCAAATTACACTTTTCAATTATTAAAAAATATTCCATTTTATTATGTTTTTGTTTGTGAATGACAACCAGGCATATTATGACTGAGTAGCCCTTTTATCAAATATTCTCATGCTGGTATAGTAGACAACTATGTATAGTTATAGGGATATGCTAGAAAGATTTTCTGGAAATATTGTTTTTTTTAATATGATACAGTTAAAAAAAAGAAATAAATAGCATAATTTTACTAATTAATAATTGGACAAAATGTGTGGGGTCAAATCTGACCCCAAATTAAGTCCATGGAAGTAAAAGAGAAAAAGAATTAAAGGTTTAATATGTCTTCTGAATATAGTGCTCTGGGAAATTGTAATTTTTAAATTAACTATTTCACTCACAACTAAATATCTTGATCTAGATATTGTTTATGTTGACTCACATTATTAACTTTCTTACTTACTGGACTCATGTAGAAAGGTGTCCCAACAACCGCAGATAATGAAACACTGGTTTGCCCATCGTGTAATAAATATGCAAGACCAAAATCACCAAGTTTCACATTTCCATTCCCATCCAGAAAAACATTTGCAGGTTTGATATCTCTGTGTAATACTGGTCCTTCGGGTAGAAGTAAATGGCACCGTTGGAGAGCTCGAGACAACTGATACAAGACTCGCCAAATAAATTTTTCGTCTAATTTTATATCAGACCTGCAAAAGAAAAAGGTAAGCTTTGATGCAAAATGATACAAATTATTTATATAGGATTTAATCTTTTAACTTATGAAACTTGCTAATACTTTCTGCATTGATTGATTAATGTAGACAAGTCCCCACCAGCACACCATTCCATTACTATGTAGATAGTAGTAGTAGGTTTGTGGATAATTCTGTCATGATACTTGACAATATTTGGATGGGTCAAGCCACTCAAAAGATTGACTTCTGATACCAATAACTGAAATCAGAGAAACAATTTAATTTTTTAAATTCTTCAAACAACTCAAATAAATGTAAATTTCTGAAACATACTTTTTTTTTCTCTTCTGTCATCTTCCCATAATTAACTGCTTTCCATACAAATATTTCTCCAGTGTCTTTTCTTATAACTTTATAACAAGTTCCAAACGAACCAGTTCCTATTACAGTCAACATATTATACCCATTTATAGCACTGCCCATTTTATAAAGTGGAATGTTGCTTCTTAACAAATGAATAACAGCTCACTGCTTTACAACAAACAGTATTTCTTTTAAAACTTTAAGCAACATGCATATCATTTCTCAATTTTTATATTTCCGTATCCTGTTTACATCAATCACCACCAATTTGACATTCACTAATAGTACAAGTTCATTTTTCAATCGCCTACCGAAGTTCTACGCAATATTTACGTCTCAAGCACACCTCCGCACACACACCCCAGCTGTCAAATCGTCAACAGTAGTCAAGTGTAGGATAACCGAGTTTCCGTCAAAATCCTAAATTCAAGTATCTCTCTGGGTTCGTTGAAAAGTGCGGTGTAAATTTTCATAAGGCAAGCGGTTCTCACGTGACTAATTCGCTTTTCGAAACTAGGTTTCTGATTGGAGGACGTACTTCGGTTCCTCCAGGTCTATTGCGTGGTTTTATGACGTCTCAACAAGGATGTCGGATGTGTAAACTGTTGCAAAACGTTCCTAAACTGTATTATGAAGTATAGTTTTTATATTTAAACTCAAATGAAAATGATTCTGACAATGTTTTTTTAAGCTATATGACTTTTCTAGTGTAGAGGGCGTACCTTACTCATATTTCGTCATGTATTCTAGTTGCCGAGGTGACCGGTATGTCACGTAGATTTGGTCACAAAGTGGTTGTGTTGGCTGAGGCGGCAGAAGAAAAACGGCAAGTGTTCTTTAATTTATTTCCAAATCAGTTATGCAATATTATATACTGGATAATTTAATGTAAAAATTGCAAGAATTTAATCATAAATAAGTCAGCTCACGTAATGGATAGTCAAAAAGATGAGCTCGATGCGGACACAGTTGACGAATTGCCAACTAAATCAACATCACCAAAATATATCGGTAATTTTGAAACTCCAACCAATACCCCTTCAAAGTATAAACAATGTTACCGCACCGAATGGGAATCAATGCCACATTTTAAAGGTTAGTGGTTGAGACGAGAAAAATGTTTCAAATTTTAAGCTTATAATTTTACTTTAATATCATGGTCATTAATTTTTTTAATTTATTTTCCAGATTGGTTGAAACCTGTTCATGGTGAACCAACCAGGGCATTTTGTACATACTGTGATAAAAGTCTTCATGCCCATCGCCTTAGCCTTCTCAAGCATGCATGCACAGCAAGACATACTAAAGCTGCCCAAAGTGTGTTTGCTATGAAGGTTTGAATCTAATTATTTGTCATATTGAGTTGACAGTAACTTATAATAAAGCCACAATTTAAAGGTCTTTGTCTACAGAATTGTAATAACGAAATATTACCCAATATTGAAAATATTACTGTGGAACCTAGTGCTGATGCTGCTGATGAGGACAGCAATTCGGATGAAGAAGTTGTAGATGAACCCTCTGAAGCAGGTGATGCTGGTGAAGACACCAGTCAACCTCCTCCAAAGGTAAAATTTGAAGTGTTAATTTTGTTAATTCTTTCTATATATTTTTCTTCATTTTTTGCTTGTTTGTGTTAATTTTGTTAATTCTTCCTATTTTTTTCTTCTTTCCCTTTTTTTGTGTGTGAACTTTGATTTGGGTTACGACACTAGTGATAACCTTTTGTGTGTATTTTATAAACATGATAAACTCTTAGTAGCATAATCATATTACTGAATTGAGTATGAATACCAAATCTTGTGAAAGAATAAAGGTTTTAGAAGGACATTTATCAAATCATTATTTTCAAAAAGTAGTTATTTCAAACAGTTAGGTGTAATTTTATGATTTTGTGTAATATTCTTCAAAAACATTTAATGGTTTTCTTCTAGGTAGCTCGAATGGATTCTGTGCATATACCTCCACAACGTAGTAAACTATCAACTCATGTTTTGGATACTGCCAAAGGAAGTCCTGTTGGAGGACTCCAAGTGAGTTTGTATAAGCTTATTGATAGCCGCTGGAGAATCTTGAGTGAAGGGTGAGTTATCTGTTCTGATTGGAGTATTTTTGCATTAATAGGTAAAACGCATGTGGCTTAAGTTGTAGAAAATTATTTTTTAAGGTTAGGGATTTAAGATAGAAATGTAATTATTGTGGTTCATGCTGAAAACAAAACTCAAAATTTGTGAAAAGAATTTTGCAGCCTATCATAATTTGTGTTTTTCTGTATTGCATTTAGTCAATTTTGGGCTGAAGTGTAGTATAAGGTACAACTTAAGGAAGTCGTTTAAACTGGCACTTCGCACCCTCTCCTGCGAAGGTGAAATCTACAGTGGAGGGAACGAGGAATGTTTTGGGCATTATGAGGGGAATCTTTCGGTGGGAAGGAGTGAGCAATATGCGTAACTTAGTACATATATATAAAAAGCAAAGTGTGGGTGGTTACGCTGGCAAAACCGCTCATGCCGAAGGCATGAGTGATTTAAATACATACAAAAAAATACACTTCTGAAATTTTTATGTTTAAAATATTTTAATTTAAACGGTTCATAATTGGTCAAAAGTTAGGCGTGGGGGAAATTTCATCCTAATGTCTTGTCGAAATTTCATTACGAAATGATGTGTGGTGGCACGTAAATCGCTTTTTTGTTTACGTGATTTTCTGTCAGGGTAGTTTTTTAGTGATGTGTGTTTTTGAGTGTCGAGTGTGTGCTATGATAGTGAGAATAAATGTGGGTATTTTTTTGCGCTAAAGGTGATGTTTGGCTGTCATTGAATGAGTGCAAGAACATAGTTCGATTGCTGCAGAATTTAAGTGTGCTGTGTATAAGTGGCCTAAAAGGTTGGCCAAGTAAAATACGTTGTGTGATGGTTTTGAGTGGAAGTGTAGCAAGAAAGGGGCCACTCCTCATGTGCAGAAGGGGCCTTGGTTTGTGGGAAGCAAGTTGAGTATAATTCAGGTATTAGTGATGACCTATATTTGGGTTATAAAACCATCAATCAAACCACTATAAAAATCGCCTATCTGTAAATTTCATACATTTCTGTCAGAGCACTTAGTGTAATTTGAGGGCGGGCTAGAGAAGACCCCTCCTCCCCCTCCCCCTTCTCCCGTCCCCCCTCCCCACTGACACGCTTCTCTAAGGGTACTCAACTGTGTACTCAACTTTAACCCAATTTTGTTGTAATGAATACGTTTTTCAACTTTGCTTTTTTGTTTGCTCTATTACAATGTATTTTAAATTCCTTGTTTTATTTGTATAATATATGATGTGATGGTAATTCTTAAAGTTGCTGAACATGCTCATTTTAGATTATAATTTAAATATGAAAAAATGTAATATGAGTTCATTATTAATTGTTTGTGGAAAGAATTGTGGTATTAAACATCAGGACTGGAGAAAATTATAATTATTATATATTTGGCTTCATATTTATTCAAATTCTGCAAGTCACTAAGTTTGTGGAAACATGAAAATTGAACAATTTAATTCCTGCAGTTTTGATAGGAAACTTTTATTTTCTCTGTGAAATATTACACAAAGGACATGCTATTTCAAAAATGCAAGTTTTCTGGGAACACATTCTGTGATTTCAGTAATATCTTGAGAGTTAATCTTTATTTGCTTGTTATTTATATAAACTATATTAAGAGGACCATTTTATTTGGCAATTCTCAGTTGTGCTGATAGGGTCTGCAGAAAGGAGGAAGGGATGAAGGACATAAAACATAGCTGCATGTGCATTTTTAATTTTGCATTAGCCAGGATACAGGATTGCGATGACCATGCTTGGTATGAACATAACGACTCGACTTGCCCTTGCTTACTTTTATTTATTTTAATGCAAAAAAAGCACTGCCAAGGAGAATGGTCCTTGTGGTTGGTTGAAGTAGTTAACAAAGTACGCTGCTTCTCTAAGCAGGGTGGCAGCGGGGGAGGGGGCAGAGGAGGTGGAGAGGAGTCTCCTAATGCTCTCCCTCAAATTACAACAAGTGCTCTGATTTTCTAATAATACTAATACCTAAATCATACTCAGCTTGCTTTTCGCGAACCATGACCCCTTTCGCTCGCCCGAACGTTTTTCGCATATGAGGAGTGGCCCCTTTCTTGCTGCACTTCCACTCGAGACGGTCACACAATTCCTTTCACTTGCCCTCTTTGGACACTTAAGCACAGGACGTGTAAATCCTGCAACAATCAAACCACATCCTTACACCCATTCAATTACAGCCAAACACCCCCTTGGCGCAACACTGAAAGAAAAATGTATTCTCACCATCATAGCATGGACTCTGGACACTCAAAAACACAAGTCACATAGATTCTGAAGAATGGAAGACACATAACGGTACAACTGCAATGTAACCTACCATTTCGACATTTACCCGCTCACACAGAGGCACACCACCACGATCACAGCAGTATTTCATAATGAAGCCCTGACAAGATACTAGGGTGAAATTTCTTCCCCTAACTTATGACGTTATGTTTGTGATCAATTACAAACCATTAAAATTATTTCAGTAGTGTATTTTTTTACAATTTATTTAAATCACCCACTCTTTGCTTTTTATAAATGTGTACTAAGTAATGTATATTGCTCACTATCCCTCATCGAAAGGTTCCCCTCATAATCCCCTAATCACCCCTCATCCGCTCCAACGTGGATTTCCCCCTCGCCAGAGTGACACAAAGTGCTGGTTTAAATGTCTTCCTAAAGTTGTTCGTGTTCTAAACTTCAGATTAAAAATTACCATAATATTTACTTAACATTAAAGTACTTACTCTGGTGACCCACATGCATTAATGTAACATGATTATTGACATTTCCTATTCAGAACCATCAAGTTAGATCAGGACAAAGTGAAACCTAAACGTCTTGCGGCATAAAGGAAATAAACTTTGACCTTACATTTGATCTGGAAGAGTTTTGTACAATGAATGGGAAAGGGGGGGAATTAACGTAACAAAATAATTAGGATGTCAATTTGATGTGTGAATTATCAAAACTTACCATATATGTATAAATTGTAATACATGGTGTTGAAATTGCTATCTAACAAGAATATAACTATGTTTTTTGTAGATTCACCAATCCTGATGGCCGTTACTCTGAATTCCTACAGAAGGATGCAGTTTTGTCTCCAGGACGGTACAAAATGCATTTCGATGTGGATCGTTATTTTGTTCTTCGTAAACAAGAATCTCTGTACCCCTTTATTGAGGTGAGGATAGTTCATATGAATTTTGAAATTGATAAAGAATGAGCCAGTAATATTATAAAGTAACTAATTCTTGTTTAGTTTGAAGCAAGTGGCAAGTATAAAGCTCTTATGGTCATGTACCTGGAAAATGTTACATCAGAAATAGCAATTACGGAAGAAGTTAACATATACTGATAATTAGGGGGCAGATTTTGATGGCCAAAAACATTGCGAAAAGTTATCAATAAAATGCTCTTAAAATGCTTTAAAAATGCCCTAAAAACAAAGAAAAATGAAGTTAATTTTTTAATCAAAACTACTTCAGGTGAACAACTCAAGTTGTTGAGTATATTACTGATATAATTAAGACTTCTTACTTTTGCTCAAATGAACTCAGCTTGCACTGTTCTTTAAAAGAAAATCTTTGCCGTTATTTCTGGCAAAATCAGCCAAACTGACAATGGTTCCAGTAGATGTCACAGGAACCTTAGTTTATATAATACTCATAACGGCTGACATTGCAATCTATGAGTGAAGAAATCGAGTAGGCTACTATAAGGATTAGGAAGGAATTCTGTGGTGAACATTTGTTGCACCTCGTAAATATTGTTTGAAATAAGTACCATTAAAATTATATTAAAATCGATGAAATCAACAAAAAATGCATTACAAATGACTGGATTGTTCTAAAGTGAAAAAGAAAAAAAAAGACATTTTATTGATATGTGACACCTATTGATAATTTAATTTGCTGTCTACTGGTGAAAGTAGTCAGTTTTTTGAAAGTATGTTTAGGTGTCCGTAGATTTCTTGAGCTGTATTTTTCTTGACATTTTTATTATATTTTCCATAGCGTACAGTTTATAATCAAGCAATTGTTTTTGTACTTTCGTTTTTGGAATCAACATGTGAATTTGTCTTGGTCACAGCGTAATTTTCAGTTCCAGTCTAATGGCCCACCCAGTTACCCACACTCCTCTCAATCCTTTGTTCCTTGGTGTAGACCGGTGCTGTTTGGTTGTGCCATCTCATATGGCCACATCCAAGTGCTTTACTGGTTGTTTTTTTTTTTGTTTCCGCTGGTTCGCTTCATGTAACTTGAAATATATTGTGTTTTCTTAGCTTTTGTGTAGATGTTAGTAGGTGAATATAGCAATAGTGTCAACCTCAAAAGTATGTGCATCTAATGGGGCATGAAATAAATAAATTGGATTTTACTACTGCCAGTAGTGATGTATGTTAATTAGATTATGAAGGTAATATTTTGTGTTTAACCCATTAACGCCCAAGTCAATTTTGTGTGTATAGCACTCATCCATTGTCCTTGAGTCGGGGCATGCACAGTCATTGTTGTAGCTTTGTGATAGTATGATTTTGCAACTTTTATTGCTAATCCATTGTTGTTTTGCTAAATTCCAAAACTACGCTACTACTACGAAGATAATATTTTGTGGTTAAACTTATTTGTTTTTTACCTTTTATTACATTCTGCTGCGGTTGTTCCTGATCCAACCCGCCACTTAAATGGAGAGTGCTGGATGTCGCTGCTTAGGACATTTAAAGAGGGAATCTGCACAGAAAAGGTTAAGGCAATCTCTAAATTACGCATAATTTATTCCTGTCCTCATACCTTTGCTAAACTGTACAATTATAGATAGTATCCAGATAGCCCTTAAAATGAATAATATTTTGACGTAAATTTTGATTAAAAAAATTTGTTATCTGTATGAGTTTGCAGGAAAGACATCTTTGACCAGACTCATTTTTTAAGTAAAGCACTTGAGAGATATCCCTGTTTCAGGCTTTTCCTGATCTTTTTGAACAGTTGTCCTTACAGTCAGGAAGGGCATATTGATTTCTAACTGTATGATGGTTCTTTTTTATTTTTTTGGAAAAATTTAACTCATTAAGGACCATGCATTGATTTAATAATATTATTATTTATTTAAATACTAGTAGACAATGCTTTGCTATTGCAGTGTGTTACACATCACACTCAGGTCATGTGATTGTTAATCACGTTTTACATGCTGTACAACATTTCTAATAAATACTATCACAAGTATGGGTTTCAATTAAATTCATATGTCCTGGTTTGGACATGGTTGTTAAGTAACCTATTGTTAAAACGTTCTCCCTCAAATTTGTGCTTACATTCACTAAGACACTATTTTGGAGAAATTTGATTTGCTTGTCTTAATTTGGGTTAGTATTTCACAATCGCAGGGACTGAATGCTTGTAAGCAGTGAACATGTGCTAAATCCTAGACTGTGCGGTGGGTTTGGTAGAGTTTAGGGGTGCTTGAATCATCATAAACAAATATATCATCAGTAACCCCTCCCCCAATTGTCAGATTTAATTGAAACCCGTCACTCCCATTATTAATAAGAACAAAGAGTGAAAATTTCAGCAAATTGATATTTGCATCTGTTGTCACACTCACACGCACGCACACGTTATACTATATGGTTTCACTAGAAAGGATAAAAAACACCTTAAAATTTAAAAAAAAAATAGTTAATTTACAACAAATTGTTACATATATGCAAGTTTGGGACAATAGGGTATATGAATTCATCTAGACATGAGGCAGCTGAAAATAGTTTGAATGAAGATGAACATAGCATTTTTTAGATTTGTAAATTGTAGTGCTTTTGCACAATTTGCCCTTCTTTCTGGCTTTGTTTTCTTACTTTTTAATCACGTGCTCATCATGATTGATTGAATAATTGAATATTCTGGCCATATCAAGGAATCGGGGCAAATCAGAAAACGTAAGAGCGGGGTTGTATCGTATTGCTTTAAAAATGTACCTACTTCCACGTCAATTTCAGTTGCCATAGCAGCATAATTTGCTTTTTTCCCCTCTCTTTCTCTCCATCCCCCCCTCTCTCTCCGACCCTCCCTCCCCTCTCTCTCTCCATCCATCTCTCTCTCTGTCCCTCTCTTCTCTCTCCGTCTCCCCTCCCTCTGTCTCTCTCTCCATCCCTCCCCCCTCTCCCGTTCCCTCCCCCTCTCTCCCCCTTCTCTCTCTCCGTCCCCCCTGTCCCTACCTCTCCCCTGTCTCATACACATTTAGTTGCAGATTCTGATGTATCTGAGCTGGTGAGATAATATTGAGAAGTGTTGGAACAGCAAGAATGTAATAGAATGTTTTGAGTTCTCATCCTGCAGATAGCCTTTCTTTGAGACCTTGGGCTGAAAATTGTAGTTTTTAATGCTCTAGACCGCTGCGTTTAAGAGTCATTAAACGATAGTAAAAAAATCTACATGTGTTGCAGGTAGCATTTGACACGAGGTTTAGATTTTGCTTGTTTGTTTTTCCCCTGTGAATTTTTTCGATATTTTAATAGTTATTCTGGCTATTTGGGCGGAGATTTAAGGCAACACATGAGAGATAATTTAAATTTTTCGAGCCGTTCTTTGAGTTATAAAATGGAGTAACTAACTCGACTTTGTTTTATATTCATAGTGTATAGTTAACATATTTATATTAACAAAATAGGTCTCGGTAGATACTAGTTTTCAGCTTTTAATGAAATTATTTATTGCATGTTCTGTATGTGTTCAAACAGGTTTTGGGGTCACCTAGCAACTGTTTTATTGGGTTGAAATTATGCACATATAATTTTCTTTTCAAAAGAAACCAGAATAGAGGGAGCAAAATAATTCAACTTACAGAAAATTACCCTAAGGGCCACACAAAACAGGTTTTTTGTGCAAAAAGATCTGGAAAAGATGAGTTCAAACCTGAGGCAGAATTATCACAGATGCTTTACTTTGAAAATGAGTCGGGCTATAGATGCCTTTCCTGCAAACTCGTACACATCTAAATTCATTACCTTGAGTATATCTGTTCTAGAGTAATACATATTTTAAATTAAAATTCGGTCTGCATTTTAAATCTTTTTCAAAACAGAAACATTGGAATGAAATCAGTTTTACAACAGATAGAGAGCTTGTACATATTTATATCACTAAAAGATTAATCTTTTTAAAGGACTTATGATAGGATTGTTTTGTTTACCAAAGGTACAAGAGGAAGAAATAATGCGTAATTAGGAGTGTCCTTAAACTTTTTACTGCGCCTATTCTGTCATACAGCAACTAACAATTAAGCTCTCATTTGTTCCGCCTTATTAATAGAGAATGAATGATGAATTGATGTCTTGATTACCTGTGATTAAATTTCAATCTGAAATACTTCAATTCAACTTATACTTCCTCCTTAATTTTTATGCTCAATTTAAAATCAGTGGTGTATTATTGGTAACAGTTATGTAAAATTATATTATTGCTTATTAATAATCATCCTACTATCACTTTAGCAACCACTTGAAAAACTTCTATTCAGATGGAGTGCAAGATGTTAAAAAAATATGTATCTTTAATTTTTTTGATAATTCAAATGTTTAAATGAAAATTACTTTTAGCCATAGAGTCGAGTATATTGCCCTCTATTCATACAAAAAGATAAAATAAAATTAAAAATTTAAATTCAATAAAAGGAAAACAACTGGCTGGAATTTGTACCTTAGGGCTGTAGATAAAATGCCAAGATGCTAATTACAACACCAAAAAGAGAGCTTAAACATCTCTGGTGTATTGTGCAGTAAGGAATTCTTAATGTTACAGAGGTGCTTACACACACAATCACAGATTCAGTGAAAACTAGCATTTTGAAAAAATGAAATGATTTAAAAGACAATATTGAGGGATAGATTGAATTAAGAAAAATCTCTAGTTTTGGTATTGAATATATACAAAGGTAAAAAAACAAAATTTGAATTTGTCCAATTATTGAAATTCCAGAGATTTTAATGAAATGCAGATCTATGGTATATGAAGTGAACTTTACTGTATTTGAGCATAAAAAATATATAAAATTTGCAACCATTTTTGAGAAAATCTTGTTTATATATTTTTTAAAATTATCATTACTTAAAATTACAATCTTCAATAATGAGGTAGACAACAAAATATTTTTAAAAATTTTAATTTTTTAAAAATTAATGTGGTTTTAATGAATATTGGACCTGCAACTTTTTTATAAAATGTCTGGCACATTTATAAACAGGTACTTTCGAGCAAAAAATTTAAAGAACAAATTTTGAACTTTTTAGGAGAAAATCTTGAAAATGATCTAGGGGTTTCGTGCTAAGTACTCTCAAAAATTTAAATATTCATTTAAAATTCAAGACAATCTGCAGATTCTTTGGGAATATCCATTTTGGTGAATATCCTGTGAAGGATTTGGCGCTCATGATCTCTCAGATATTTTGAGAAAACGCAATAGTAGGCTTCCTTGGCCAGGGTCATATAAAGTCTGTTAGCTGTCTGGGTGATGCCACGTTGAGAGAATTGTTGCCCTTTAAATGGTTTATATGAATACTCTCATAGAGGCCTATGTAATCGTAGGCTTCCCTGACTAGTATCATGTGAAGGCTTCCGGTTATCCTGGTGACGTAGCAGTATTAATGCCATCAATACTTTCAAGTCTCAATGCATCACCCGGTCAACGGAAAATGTTTTCGTGTCTAGAGCTAAAAAAACAATGGTGTGTTCAGACCAGTAGTTTTAATGACACTTGCAATGTACAATTTTAATCAAGAATTATGCATATAAGTATACGAGTATTTCTTAAAAAAGAATGTACCTGAGAATTCCTGCAAATGACAGCTACACTATTTGAAATCATACTTAAAACCTTATGGCAACCTTATCTCAGAAACTAAATCTTTATTTTCTAGACACACTGTTTTGAATTATCAATAATGATTAAGCATGAAATACCTTATCCTATTTGATGTGTTATTTGGGAATTTCTACTTACCATTTTTGTTTAATAAAAATAAATTTTGTGATGTTAGTCATACCTGTAACATCCATCTTCGTTTCCAGTTATCATTTTCATCACTTTTTTCCTTTTCTGGCTTGCTGAGTATTTGTCTGTGTTTTTGAGTTTGGGTTTGTATCTATTTAGAAAGTTTTCTTCCAAAAATTAGCCAAACTTGTCTTCAATATTTTAAGATACATTATTTTTTGTTTGTTTCTTTTACAGATTGTTTTTGATGTGAAATCTCCTCACGAGCATTACCACATACCATTGCTCCTAAGCCCGTTTGGATACACGACATACCGTGGTAGCTAGTGCGCTAGTACCAGAATGAATTCAAGCATTGAATAATATTTTGATATCAGTTTTGTGTACATTTCATTTTTATTGATGTTGGACAACTAATTGTAAAGTTTTTGTTAATTTCATCAGGTTTCGTCCTGTGAATTCTGATCATCCACATTAAGTTGTATCTATGTATTTTTTCTGAAAACAATTTGTGAAATGATGCATGAAATAAAGTATATACATTGTTACAGAATTACATTTTTCCTGTCATATTTTCCCCATTTCTAATGGAATTTAAACCATAAATTAAAAACATTAACGAATCTACGACTAAAGAAATGCAACTAGACACCGGGGGAAAACAGAAACGAAACGTATATTACAGCTGTGAAACAATGGAGTGCAGAGAGCGGCGAAGTTGTCACTTCCTCCTCTGCGCGCGCTGCTGTCTCGTCTCCTGCTGGCGGCGGTTCTTCTCGTCGAGCTGCGCCGTGCGCTCATAGCGCTCCTCGGCGATCCGCTCGATGCGCGCCATGAGGTCCGGGTAGGGCGAGATGGCCTTCTTGAACTCGCCGCCGTGCAGGCGGTACAGCTCGCAGCTCTCGACGGCGACGACGCTGGCGACGCGGCGGCGCGTGCGGCTCATGAGCGCGATCTCGCCGAAGTGGCCGCCGTCCTCCAGGTGGCACACCTCCTTGCCCGTGGGCGTGTAGATGGCCACGGTGCCCAGCGCGATGAAGTACATCGAGTCGCCCACGGTCCCGGCCTTGACGATGACGTCGTTGGCCAAGAAGAACTCGGCTTGCAGGCACACGACGATGCGCGTCAGCAGCGGGTTGGGCAGGTTCTTGAAGAAACTCACGTTCTCCACCAGGCGCCAGCAGCTGTGCAGCACGATTTCTTGGCGCAGATGAGTCGACAGGGCGTTCAGTATCTGCGCTTCCTGCGGTTTGGAGGCGGCAACGAGCATTACCCGTGCTCCATCTCGGTTTCACGAGCAGAGTTGAAGGGCTCAGTTGAACAAGGGGCAACCCCAAATTGTCATAGTTCTGAGATATTCAGGGATTTACCTGTACACGAGCGTACAAATCCCTAACGTATTACACTAAAAGAATAGTATTTGAAGTTTTTTATAATGCTAATACCTTTATTTCCCAAAACGTGGGATAGCCTCTTGTTCTACCGAGCTCTTCGGTTGTGAATGCAAAATAAAAATGATTAAAAGCAGTAGAGGCTCCAGAGACAATTTTGAGTGGGGGCGCAAAATTCTTGATGGGAATATGCAAGCAAACAATGAATATAGTATAGGTCATTGCAGATTTATTCGTGGAATAAGTTTTGTGCACTACTGTATGCTGTAGGCGAATCGGAGGAAACGTATTTGGGGCGGCGTTCAAAAAGTTCGTCAGATGGCAATCTGCAAGAAAGCATTGTCCATGTACGTCACCGATCCCGGGCTGCACCCGCAGACAGCCATATTTCCATTTGCAACTCCCATGTTAGTTTCTTCGCAATCCCTAGCATTGAGCTTGCGGCGACAAGTATTTGAGTACACTGTAATAGGACACTGTTCTCGAACATCTCTAGCCATTGCAGGAAAACACACACCATAAAATGCCGAGCTTTTTGAATTCTGAAATCGGAGAATAATTTTAATATCAAATACTATACAAAAGGAAAGGGAAGGTGGATGTATATTTTTGGGGTGGGCAGTGCCCCTTGAACCTCCCTGCCGCAGAAGCCATTGATGGAGAGTTTGTGCACAACATGAAGCACCCTAGCCCTAGTTTTTGCGCAGCATGAAGGGACTTAGCCGCGGTGTAAGTTGACCTAGACCGTAGCGTATACGCTGCCAACCTACTTTGTAGCCTGTGCAAGTACTACTATAACTATTGCTAATGTCCGATTAAAAGTATTTGATGGCGAATCAGATGTGTTCGCACGTTATCCCACCGGGAGCTTCAATGTTTGGTGTCACTTCGGCGTTTAAGTTTCTCACTATTTTCGTACTACGCTCGTTTTCCTCGCCTTTTCTCTCCCAGAACTTCCTTTTCTCATTTTTTTTTACAAAATATTAAATCTTTTTTGATAACGCAGTAGAGAGAAAGTTATGTAACGCTACTCAAAAAAACTCCTCATTTTTGGCAGAAAACTCTTGTTACATGATCTTGATAACAAAATAAGGGCGAGAAAGTCAAAAAAGTGGATAAATCTAGTTTCTAAATTAAGGTGGGGGGGCATAATCCATGTTATGTGAGACCTTCATACAGAAAAATAGAATGACTGCAAAACCTCTTATCTGTCTGTCCGTCTGTGAACAATGCTAGCGGCTAAACCTTTTAGCCGATTTTCTCCAAAATCGATAGCCCTTAATCCATGTGGCTGATGTCTCTGCCCCTTGAATTTGAAGCATATTTTAATTTTGGAGGGCACTGTCCATTAAGTCCCTGTGCCATTTACTATATTGAAAAAATGGCTCTATCGTTTTTGATTAAATTTTGTTGTTGGGTAGTGTGAAGGACGTTTTTAAAAAAGTATGGTACAGGTCTCATGTTCGTTGAAAACGGACGAAAATTAAAATTCTAAAATAACACGCGAGAAAGTACGTGCTGTGTTAGAAAATTTAGTATTATGTTGTAAGTATTATTCTTGAAAAAGTAAAGTACATTGAGAAAAAATCAAAATAGCTAGAAACTCCTTTCTTCCCGGAGACTGGAAGGGGAACGCCTTCGAGGGAAACACATGCATCGGCAGGGGAACTTGCGAAAGGAGTCGCATGAGCCTGGGAACTTGTAACTGCCGCACTGCACTAGTTTGCACCAAAAATAACTGCATAAAACTTTCTGACTAATTCAAATGTGTTGAAATTGAAAACGTCTTTTCTCTTCTCTATTATATACTAGTTTGTTTTTACTTTGTTTGCAAATCGGAGTATTGTAGATCACTAGTGCGAGAAAACCGGCGAATGAACAGTGAAGCTACAGTTGCAGATCAATCATTGCCTTGGATCTTCCATGTGATCGGGCCGGAAGGTCCTAGGTTCACGTCCCGAAGGAGGCAGAATTTTCGACACTAGCTTGCTAGCTAGGATAAATTCAGTCGCTGTCTGGAGCAGAATTCTAGCGGCCGGCTGCTGTTGTCGATAGTTTTCCATGGTTTCTCCGATGAACACCAGGCGAATGCTGGAGCAGAACCCTAACAGTGGGGCCACTGACAGTGCACGATCTTTCCTACCTCTTCCTTGTCCTATCCTCATTGCTTACACACACACTAACATGCGCAACACTCCCACCCCTGCCGGGAGCCCAGTGGGGAGCTTAGAGTTTGTCCCGGCTTCGCGACGTCAACGTGTAAGTCTGCGCCGGATCTCGCCATCCATCGGGGGAAGATCATCGCCAACACCCGTTGAGAAGCATGCATTACACTTACGGGGAAATGAGCTAATTAGTAGTCGCATCCAGAATCACTAACAATCAATCAATCCATTTGATCTACTTCCTTAAATTGCGTACGCTGTTTGTCATGTCAAGTTGAATCTTTCTGAAAAAGTTTCGCTACGAATTATGTTTGAAGAATTTTTCGTCAGACCGAGACCGGTTTACGAGATAGAATACGAGTAAGCGTGTCAAAAAATTTCGCCATCTTCTGCCCCCCCCCACCAAATTAATTTTTTAAATTAATGCTTATGACTCAAATACATGTTCATGCTCTTTTAGAGATTTTCGCCTTACATACATTTTACAACAGACGAACGATTTAAGAGCCAGAAATCGTTCTTCTGACGAACATTTTCTCTAACAGTTTTCGAGACAAACACACACACAAAAGAAAAATTTGTTGAAGATAAAAACTAAAGAACAATATTTTACATTTTCTCAAAATGCACAACGGTTAGGAGAGAGCAAAGTTGAAATGCAGATTCAGTACCCATACCATACACAGAATGATAGAGAAAATATTTATATTTCCCCCCCCCACACACACACACACCTAATTATCATTTAAAGGGATTACTAGTATATTTGAAGTTCAATAATGCTCGACTTCCAAAGGAAAAGAGAAAATGCTAATAAATAAGTAACTGAAGGTGCTAACTAAGATTTAATTTATTGGTGTATATATGCAGTAAATGAGAGCAATAGAAATTTGGAGCATTTGAAGATAATTGTACGAGTACTTCCCTTCTGAAACATATATGAAGAATGAAAAATTTGCTGTGCCAATCTTGGGGAGAAATTCTATAAAATATTAAATCTTTTCACTTTTTGATGAATTAAAAGCTGTAGTTAATAATTATAAATTATGAATGTTGCATAATATATGGATTATGTTTTCAGTGTAAATGCTATTTCGACGTCAAATTCGATCTGTAGGTTTCTCAAGACAGTAAGTTACACTGAGTACGAGAACGATGCCATTGGGTTACCACTTGGGGAGACAGTAATGCCGCATCTGTCAAAAGGGCCAATTTTCATCGTAGGTTGCCACAGCTTCAATTAGTGTTCCAACAGCACATGCTTTCTCGCTGTATTAGTTGAATGTGGCGTCGCCGACGCTGTAAATTTTTTTTTTTTAAGTATTTTCATATGTTGAACATTTCTTTCATGGTTTGCATTGTTCAAATATGTTCTTACAGAATCTGGCATTGAACGTACTAACGACTCGTAATAGCTGTTAATGTTATAAACCCGTTCAAAATTCCCAACACCCAATGACCTTGTATATTACCCCCATACGGGATATGAACTGGTAATATTGTAATTTCAAAATTACAACCACCGTATAAATTCTTGGTATGGATGATAAGAATAGTTAGAATTTTGTACTGCTATATATTTTTCGTTTTGTGTCCTAATATGAACCTAAAGGATCTTAATAGTTCTACTGCGTTATTCTCGAATGTTAAATAAAGATCGAAAGAATTAATTCAGAAAATTCTGTCGCAAAAACGTCTACCAGCGCCGACGTGACCCTTGTGCGAGAGGTGCATAGAACCAGGGCGGAAAAAATTAAAATATTCAATTAAAACTTTGAAACAAAACAAAATTTGTAATATATATCAAAGAGCAACACTCTAGCCATGTGAGTTACTAAACTACGTAGAAGTACAACCATACATTCAAAAAGTTTCCTATTTTACCGATCACACGAAGTAAGCAACAATTTTTAGGCCAGCGTTGTTCTGTCCGTCCTTCCGTCGGTCTGTGGTTAACGATAGCGCTAAAGCTGTTCAGACGGTTTTCTTGAAAATGGATGTT